TTATGTTGATTTTATTTTGAAATTTATCTTATTGTACTAAAGACCACCTGTAAGTAATCATTTTGCCAAAAAAATAGGGTGAAAAAAAAAAGAAAAAAAAAATATTCCTTGGTAAAAGATCACAAAGGTTTTTCTTTCATTCATCACACCCACTTTTACTCAATTATTCAAAGAAAGAAACTCCTTATTGCTTTGCTAGCTGCCTAATGTTTATGGGGTAGGCATCTGAGCAATACTTGGAAGCATAGGCCTTCTGGGCAAGAATGATGTTTGCTGCCTCAGTTGGATGAAAGGCATCCCAAAAAATGTACTCTGTTCTGTTAGAGCATGGCTGTTGAAAAGGAAGACAAGTGACTTGGCCATTGTTCCTCCCCACCCCACAACAACCCTTATCAACCACTGTGAAACCTGTTTCATTCAAAGAAATGAAAAAGATTTTGGACCATGATGAGAAATTGGCATTTTATTTTTTTGAGTGAGAGAGAGAGAAATTCTTAAACCAGATGTTAACCAAGAATAACATGATTTGTAGCATGCATATGATAGATATATAGGCAGATATGCATAGACACAAATAAATAGACATGTAAAATAGATATATGCATAATATTTAGGAAATGAAAATGGTTTGATAGGGCTGCAACCCTGTCAAAATAAGTGAAGCCTCACCTCATAACTCATCAAAAATTGTAATTCAAGCACTGAAAAACCTTTACATGGATCACCTCTGCTCGAACACTATGGTTGTGAGGAAAAATTAAGATTCCAAACTCTGAAAATAGTGTATATTGTAACTAATTATGTTGACCGTCCATTTTTTTCCTAAAAATAAATGTTTACATATCCGCAAGATCTGTACATTTTTCTACTTCCAAATTTTTTTTTATCGGTGTTGGAAATTCATTTTAGAGCCATCATGGCGCTTTCCATCGCCGAAAGTGCTCAAATGAGGATTTGAGGTGGGGCTTTATTTTGTTTTCATAAAAGCTAGGCTTTATAGAAATTTCATCCTCTAGGAAAATGCATACTTATCATAATTCGATCCATATTTTATAAGACAAGTCGTACAAATATTTGAAATTTGTGAAAATTTTAAAGTTTCTAAAGTTAATTTTTCCTGACATAAATAAGAAACTAGCTATTATTAAGGGGTGGGCATTTTTTTGTATCTCCACATGGTATAATTTGGAAAATGTTTATATAAGGATGCTACCTTATAATGTAGAACTATGGATGCCCCTCAAAAATCCATCGGAAAAGATAGTTTTAATGTTGAAAGATTGATTGATCATCTCGACATTAAGATGTATGATTATGAAAAATAAAAATATTTTAACTCTAAAAAATAGTACATTTTATAACATATTATCTACACCGTCCATTTTCAAGATTTTCATATGCTTATAGATCTACTTGATTTTAATCATTTTTGAAATTTAAAATTTTATAATTAGATATAAAAATAGATTTTGAGATAATCCTAATAACATTTTACATCAAAATTATATACCATGATAAAATTTAAAGGGCACAGTACCTCTACACCTACGGAGGCGTCCGTATGGAAACTGCACCCATATAATTTATATATATATGGAGACATACCTTTTAATCTTGATTAGTCAATTGCTAGTTAGCAGAAAACAACATTACACATTAGTTACAACCTGTCAATACTATTGGCATCAATCTGTGGTAGTATTCTCTTCTCACTCCCAACCATCTGGCGATGATCAGATGCTTGTGGATCTCAATAAATATATATATATAAAAGTTTAAAGAAAAGATTTATTCTTAGTTAATAATTATTGGTACTGATCATCAATCAATAGGGATATAACTTGTCCATTTACCATAGGAGGAGGCATTGGCTATGAGGTGTTGGAAGGATGAATAGGAATTGATGTAGGTAAACTTTGCACCAGGTAACCTCGAGTTGAAACTTTTAACCAGGCTCAACAAGCCCGAGTTAAACAAGATGATGGCATTGTTGATCCTACTCACACACCTGGCTCCATTAGCATCATCATTAGTTGACCGGGCCAACTCATAAGGGATGCATCCTATTTGTCCAACGCCAATTACTGCTACTTTTCTTGCACCCAATTCGTATAATTCCTGAACGAAGAAGACAAAAGGCCAAACAAAAAAAAAAAACCAGATCAAATTTTTTTTTTTTTTGTTTGAACATCACGTATAATTCATTGAGATAATGATGAAGTACAAGAAACAAAAGGAGAAAATAAAAAAGACAAAAAAAAAAGAGAAAGAAAAGGGCGGCAGGGACTCCCAATAGAAGAGACGGAAAAAAAAGAGAATGGATGAAATAGGTAAAGATAAGACAAAAGGAGCACACAAGACGTAGATCAGTTTATCTCGACTGTTTTGATACAAGCTTAAAGGGTTCGAACCTTTGACCTCTCTCTTTCTCATGGTTGCTAGGCTTCTCTCTGTCTCAATCTAAGGAAAATGCTTCCATTCATGACCTAGTGATTATTTTTTGGGAACTTTATCAAAATACACAGACAAGTTGAACAATTTAACAATTAGCTTAAGTGTAATTTGATAAATTAAAATACAATTAGCTTAAGTGCGGTTTGTATAGAGCATAGGCTCTAAACAATCAAATTAAAGCCCACCATCAAATAGTGTCGAGAAATGTAGTGTCAATATTAGAAATTTTTGTGATAGACTTAGAATATATTTTTTATATTTATTTATAATGTTTACAGCTTCAAAAATAGTGTAGATGGACCGATCATGAAAATTTGAAAATATTGAAAAATTGACGGTCCGAAAATGTGTTACAAAATACACTTGAAATCCATTTTTTTCTCATGTCCATGCATCTTGATATTGAGATGATCAATTTGAAGATATTTGGATGTCAAAAAAATATCTTCTAATAAAAATTTTAAGGCAGGGTAAAATTAGATAGTTTAGAGCCTCGGCTCTATATAAGCTTTTCACAATGTGTAATTTGACGAGCTATTTAGAATTTTGACCTAAAAGGATGGTAGGCATAAGAAAGCTTCATAATTCCAACCAGTATTCATCTATAAAGGGGTATTTTTACTGATAACCTAAGTAAGCAGGCGAGTCTACTCGAACCTGTTCGAGTAACTTGGGTGTCCCACTCAAACTCGGGGATCTTAAAAATAAATAAAAAATTAAAAAGAATATAAAAAATTCATAAAAAATAAGAAATCTATTTGTAACACTTTTTTTTATGGGTTTTATTATTTTTAACAAAGATTTGAAAATATTTTGGCCATGAACACTTACTTTTATGCTTTCCATTTTTTTTGGATTGTTTTGAAAATACTTCCAGTCACAAATTGATTTTTCAAAATCTAGTTTTTTACTATTTTTTTAACCTCATTTTGATGTGTTTTGTTTAATCTTTACTTTAAACATATATTTCATTTTTCTTTTCTTTTTTTGAAATTTTTTTTAATTTGAGTACTTTTTTTGCCTAGCCGGGCCAGCCTGACTTAGGCCGATTACTCGGACACAGCCCATGGCCAGGTTCTGGGTCTGGTTCGTGCAATCGAACACTGATTAAAACTAGAGTTCACATGTTTGACTTTTTTTATGGTAGAAATGAGCTGAAAAGAGAAAAGGAGCCATTAGACAATTGGCGTGGAATAAAATCTACGAAACTTAAAAAAAGAAATTTTTTTATTTTATTTTTTGGCTAGGGAAAGAAAAAAGAAAATATACAATATAGACTGCATACCATGAGGTTATTTATTTTTGGTATAAGAAGATTACAATTATCACTATTCGTTGGATGATAGGAAATTGGGCAGCGAGGAGTATGTCACAGTTTAAGAAATTTCTTTTTGGAGTCGAATATTGCAACACTCCCAATCATCAATTTCACATTTGCTAGTTGTGACCATATACTAAACGCAAACAATTTTAATATGTTATTTATCAACATAATAACACCATCTAACTTGGTAAAAAGAGGTCATCACCCTTACCTATCAAATATGAAATTGAGCGGTTGGAGGTGCACCATTAAATGTGCTCATAATCCAAGGGGATTGTATAAAATGAAACCATTTCCTTTTAGTACAAGGAGGTCACAATTATTGGTAACCATCTAATATGAAAATCTAATAGCTTGTGTGTGTTACGAAGTTCGAAAAAAATTCTTTTGAATATTGAGCTTGGTCAATGAAATAAATGTTGCCACATAATTTCACATTCAACGATCAAGATTAATTGTGATCACCTTGTATGAAAGGTAAATGGTATTTTTGTATACTTTTCCAAATCGAAAAAGGTTTTGCTCAAACTTAATGAAAAAAAATGACACATCCCAACCATTCTATTTACATTATGATGGTGGCAATGTTTGTGTGCAAAATGTAACATTATGAGTCTCCTATTAGAAAAAGGGAAAAGTTTATTATAAGATTGTTTACTTTTAGTATAAGAAAGTTGTTAAGATTCTAAACAAAAGAAAAATTCTCTCAAATATTGTGGTACATTCATAACCACTTGATTTGACATCTAACAACTAAGATTGATTATGATCTCATTGTACCAAAGATAAATAGATATTATAGTATATAGTACTTAAAAAACAATAACAGTTGCGTGCTCTCCTCCCTATCTTTGATTTCTCTTTCTTCTTTTTTTTCTTTTTTTTTTTGGGGGTAAAATGGCAACCACTTTGATGGGGAAAGAGAAAGCAAGCCATGATCCACATGATATTGAAATTTGAAAATTAGTAAGAAACAAGTGATGAATGCTGACCATTAATTGTCGCCCATAGTCCTGAATGAGGGAACTAGCGTACTCCCTTGGAGTATATTGAGAGCCAGTGTTGTAATAGTCAGGCATGAAATAATTATTTAAGTAATCATTGCTTCCCATCCCCACTGAGAAAATGCATTTTCTTAAATAAGCAGTGACAGAAATATTGCTTCTACTCAACAATGCCCTCATTTCCTCCACACTCCTTGCAAAGTTTGCAACTTGTTGGTTCATGGATAAATGCTCTCCCTGTTGCCAAATAATAAAATTTAATCAATTATTCTAAATACAAGCAATGTATAAATAATTGGATCCACATAATATGATTCTTATGGTGATCCAAACCCCATGACCATGGAAAAACAAAACCTCTCAAACCTTTAATATGACAAAAAAGAAATGGAAAAGGTTAAAATCAGGGTAAGGCTTTATAGAGAAAAACTAAAGCTTCATCTCAAGCGCATTGCGAATTATAGTTCCAGAAAACCTTTAAATCAATTGTCTTGATCTTCACATTATGGTTGTAAAAAAATTAGGATTTTAAAGCCTAAAAATAGCACATATTATGATACATTATCTAGACCATTCATTTTCAAGTGTATATAAATCCATAAGTTTTGTACCATTTTTTAAGCTACAAATTTTGTAATAAGCGAGGAGAATAGATTTTTACAGCTATCTTAGAGATTTCCCACACCCGAAGTATTTTCTTAGAATTTCTCCGAATTAGTTAACACTGGGGCAGGTGCATGCTATTTAAATTAAATGTAGGAGAAATACCAGATTTCTTCCGGTCTCATCCCTTATACCAGCTGCTCCAGAAGCAAAATTGACCCCTCTCAGCAATGCAGTCCCACTGGTAGTTGCATAAGGTGGAATGTACTCTGAAAACCCTAGAAAAGCAGCTGGAGCCCATCCACAAAAATAAGTAATAAATGGAAATTACCACAAATAAATAGAAAAAATGATTAAATGAGGAGACAATGATGAATTTCAAGTCAAATATATTTCACTAAGTGCAATGAACAAAATTTTTTGACATGGATTCTATGTTTGCATCTCCCCAAGTGAGATTAGAAACAAGAATCTTTTTTTTTTGGAGCAAACATAAGGATTAAAGGTAGCAAACAAAAATTGGGCTTGACCTTCACATATTAGCTACAAGGGTTGTCTACAAGTTGTTTTTTTGTACGTGGGGGTCACAATCATTCTCACTTATTAGATTTCAAATTCGAATGGTTTGGGGTGAGTTCGAGAAATTCTTTTTTTAGAACTTTATGTCTATTTAATGACACTCCTACAACCACTCATTTTGAAATTTAAGGGGTAAGAATGATTGTAACCTCCAACTATAAAAGATAAATGGTCTCTTTGTAGACAATCTCTTAGTTATAGGGCATCAACGAAGAGAACTTGGACTTTACTTATAAGTAAAGGAAAAGTATATCGTCCACACGTGGACATGTAAAGGATACATAAGCACTCTTTCAATGGTTAAAATTGAATTAGTGCCAATCCAAGAGCCAAAAATTTATTGGTTTTTGAATTATGAAAGTAAATATAACCCACTTAATAAAAGAAAAGGCAAAAATAAATATTTGGTCAATTTTTTATTTAGAATATTTTTTATTTTTTTTGGATGTGTGGATGCTTTATTTTTCTGGTAAAAATAAATTTAAAAAATAAAAACAAAATTAATTTCTAACTTTCTAATAAGCCCATAGTCAATCTCATCCATCGAGGTGTTTATTGTGGGATGCCATACCACCCCATCAAAAGTACGGAGAAACCAATAAGTCACTGCAAGCAACAAATGAGAGAATGAACAGTATGAGAGAAGAGCAGGGAAATTATCGATACAAAAGGAAATAGCGATAAATGACGTTTAGTCTATGCAACCTAAGGAAATCTATGCTTAAACTTTTTTGTGCACGAAACATTTGCATTTGTGTTTGAAATTTTAGGTTATTTACACTTTTTCTACATTCTTTCTAGAAATCTAATTGCAGAAATATTTAATTTCAATTTAAATTATAATTTCTTTATTTTTTAAATAGTAGATAGACTAAAAAGCTAATTTTGATATTAACGTTTATGACAATTAACTTATCAAATGCTAACACCCATATACTATTAGTATTGGTCCTAGTCGCATGACTTTAGAAGGCATTACAATCAATCCTAATTACAAGAAATAACGGCAGTTGTATGAGACAGGACCTACCTAGGAAGTCCACGGTGGTCCGGCCATTGCAGAAACGGCCGGTGACGCCACCCGGAAAATCGACACCATATGGCAGATAGTTTGCCCTCGCCAGAGTCAATATGTCATTGTTGTTCCCATTGTCCACAAGGGAGTCCCCAAAGATGAACATGCATGGCACTTTACCTCTTGATCTTGATCTTGCACTAACCAACCCCAAAAATGAAACTATAATCAAAGTGAATGTCTTTAACCCCATCTCCCAAACCCCAAATATGGGAAAGCTCTCTCTCTCTCTCTAAGATCCAATGTGGGGATTTCTCTCTCTCTAAATAAAATTTTGGAATGTAAACCGTGGCTCACTTTTCCTTAGACCATGGGGGAGAGACGCATTGTCTTTTATAGAATGCAAAATAGAAGACTGGACAGACAAATATTGAAAATCTTATTCCCCCTTGAGTAAATTACAATGCTACCCTTCAATTAAGATTTTGATAAATAACCGAAAATATCCTATATTTTTGTCTTTTATGCCACGAATTTGAACCCCTAAACTTAGAGTTTGACAACAAGAGCTTCACAGTGCAGGGTTACCTTGGTCATTTTTTGAAGAGCTGGTCATTAAATAGGGAAATTAATAGAAAAATTCTTTTTTATTTTCAAAGTTTAAAATTAGTCATATATATTCTATATTTACAATCAAATCCATTTTTTATGGTGAATATTATATTTTAATTTTAATTTATTCTCTATACCTGATTAATGTCAAATTTGGGGAATCGATACTTCTCACCATAGCACATCTATAAAAAAATATTAAAAATTATAAATAATATAAATAAAGACGATAAACTATTCCTATAAAATTTAAATTACAGAGGCATATTAGTCATTTTATTTATTTTAAATATATTTTTGGTATCGTTTTTACAAATATGTGATGGTTAAAAGTATTGACTCCCTAAATTTGATCTTAATCCAATATATAGAAAAGAAAAAAAGATTGAAATACAATATTCAGTTTAAAAAAGTGAAACTGAAGCATAAAATCTAAAACGATTTCTTTTAATTTTAGAAGTGAAAAAAGATTTATCTTATTTTTCCAAAAATATAGATGGTTATCTATTTTATTTTGTTTTGCTTGGAATGGGTAAATAGAAATTTTGAGCAAGAACAAGATCACTCTCTTTAGTGGGACCTTGGCTTTAATTGGGCTCATGGCCTACATAATAATGCTACTACAGAGGTGGAGGTGGAGGTGAGGTTTTATAAATAAGTTCATGTGCAACCGGATAGTGCCGGTGGAGGTGGTGGCATATAACCCGTGAGGTGACCGGAAAGAATGGTCACATGAACAACCGGCCGCTCCCCATATTTCTTGTTTCCATGGTTCCATCACCGTTTAAGAAAATTCTAATATATATATATATATATATATATAAAACACTACGCAACATCTATAGGAGAAAATGAACAGTAATTTCGCCTATCCCTATCACCGTCCAAAATTCATCGTGTGGTCACAATTATCTAGTTGTATTTTATTTTATTTTATATTTTTTTCAAATCGGAGTGACCTAAAATTTAGAGCGTGTATTCATAAAAAATAAGATAATTTTAAAAAATATAAAAAAAATATTTTACGTGAAAAAATTAATCAAAATACCCATAAAAAATGATCTATTTCCCATTTTACCCATTTACAACTACTCCAACTCAAGACCATGTATTTTGTAATAGGTGTCATAAGATATCTTCAATCTGGTTAACAGTATAATCTAATTATTTATCTATACCCTGAAAGTAATTAGCAGAAAAGATCATTTATATTCTTTACATTAAATCCACATGAACACTAAGCCATCTATCTGTACCCTAAAATCTCTTTGCAAAAAGATCATTTTTATTCTTTACTTTAAATCCACCACAATCAGAACTAAACTATATCCAGTTTGGAGCTGATTTATATGGAGTCAATTTTGGCTTTTAACATTTCATTTTTTTATTTATAGCGTGGAAAATTATTTGGTGCGGCTAAGCCCACCCCTGTTACTATGCGGCCCGGAGATCTACACCGTCCACCAAAACAAAATCCTTTAAGTAATAGTCATTCAAAGAAAAAGTAAAATCAATGGTTCAAATATTTTTTTCAAAAAAATATCACTTTTATTTTTAAAATTTTATTTATTTTTATAGATTAATAATCTCTATGTTAAATATTATAAATTGCCTAAACATTAGGATCAAATTTTATTTTAAAAAATAAATTATTAACGAGTAGCATTTCTACATGTGAGTCCGTGGCCCGCATGCTAACCGCATCCTTATAGTATTTTGCTCTTGATGTTACTTGCATTCTTCTCTCTCCTAGTGGTTCTTCAGCTTTATTAAGTTTAAACTATTTAACCTAATTTTTTTGCAATGCGTTACTGTCATAATTATTTATTCTATAATACATCATAACAACAAGAACCACAGCATTAACTCTAGAGCAACTACATCATTAGTTTTTTAGAAAAATTAACCTGTTTATGGTTCACAATGAAGCTGGTTTTATACTCCTAATTAAGTTCAAGAGATTTAAATCACACAAGTCATATTGTGTGCCTCCTTAAAAAAGAATGACAGAATCTTATATTGATGCGTTGTAAAGTTGGTGTGATATTCTTATTTGAGAAAGTCTAATGAGGGTGAGGATCTTAAACTTTCCCTTAACCCATCTCAAGCCCGAATAAAGATTGGTGGATTGTGTTAGGTATATGAATAAGACCCAGCAGTCTTGATTGTTGATAACATACGTCTGGTAATGTGAGAATTTATTTTAGTACTTTACTAGTATAATGATCTTATTATGAAAATATAATTAGTCTGATGATCTAATTTTTCATTTTATTTGTATGTACTATTCTTATTCCAACGTGTAGGGTAGAAAAGCGATAAAGAAAGAAAAAGTTTCTCTTTTAAAAAATTACAAATTATTCTCTTTATTATTAATTTTTTTGACAAGTTCTCTCTATATTTTTTTTTTTATTTTTTTTTTTGTTTTTTTTTGGGGGTTTAGTTCAGTGTGCATGTATCGAATTTGAGATGTAGCACCGCTATATGTCAGCTGCTAATCACTCAAGCCCAAGCTTAATTCCTAACGAATTTTTCTCCTTGCTTATCTTTTATTTCGAGAATTTAGTAGTTGTGTTTTAGCATATAAATTGAAATAAATTGGTTGAAAGACAGTAGAGAGAGAGGAAGAGGGACGGGTACTGATTTATTGGTACCAAGGTTGTAAACGAGCCGGGCCTGGGAAAAACAAACCCATGAAGCGAGCTTAAATTCAGGTCAGGCCCACCTTATGGGGCCTAGGACATGGCTCGTGGCACACTAGATCGAAACTTGCTGGGCCGTTCCAACCCATTTGCACCCTGTTAAGAATGAAAAAGGGCAGCTCATCAAAATACCCATTGGAGATGGAATATTTAACATTTTGCCTGTTTGCAACTATTCAAACTCAAGGCCCTATATTTTTTATAGTTATTTTGAAATTAAATAAAAAGATATGAGTAAAATGTTAAACTTTTCATCTCTTATGATTAGTTTAATAGAGTTCCCAATGAAAAATCTATACAAACATTGCCCATCAAGCTTTATTACAAAAACAGGCTCCCGGCCTGTTAAGCTAATGGGTCCTAAATTTGGGCTTGGTCCGGCCAGCTGATGGCCCCATAAAAGGGGCTGTAACCAGGACCATATAGAACCGGCCTTGGCCAGCTTATAGGCCCATAAAAGGGCCCTAACCAGGCCCATATAGAGCCTGGCCAAGTGGCGGGCCCATTTACAGCCCTATAAATGGTCCCAAAAAGTAGCCCATGTGTGGGGAAAAATGGCCCATATTTGAAAATGACGGGCACTAGGATATACACCATGTAGAATGTGAGACAGATGTAACTAATCTTGGAAGAAATTTGACCAAGCGGATCTATGAATAATAAATTTTTTTTAAAATAGATGGTCTAGATAATACGCTACAAAATGTATTATTTCCACTGCTTGAAATTGTTTTTTCCATATCCATACATTTTGATCACTGGAACAACCTTTTCTAATGGTTTTTTATGTGCCATTGTTTCAATAGTACAAAGTTTTCACCTTATATAAATTAGGACCTTACATGAAAGCTCCTAAACATAAGAAGGCTCCATGAAAACTTTTTCACGCCAAATCCTTGAGCATTATTTTTTTTCATCTTTCCTAAGTGAAATTTTGTGGCAATAATGGACAAAAAAAATACTCTCATGGTGGTTCGGCCTTTTGAGTGCAAAACCGACCTCGAGTAAAAAAGCTCAACATAATAAGTCAGTTCCACACTTGGACTGCTGAAATAGCCTGTGGGAAAAACAATAAACTCAAGTCGGTTCGGCACATGGAATGCTGAACTGATTTAATTTTTTTTCTGTCACCCAAGGTTGGCAGGGAATTTCAAATGCCGAGCCGACTTTAGGGCATTTTTTGTCCAAATTATCTTAAAATTTCACTCAAGGACTAGATGCAGAGAAATAGTCCGGTGTGAAATTTTTTTTTAGTAAGGAGTCCTACATGCAAGATCTTTTAGGCAGGGGCACAAGTAATTTTTGCTTCATCTGAACGAGAGTGAAACAACCATCTAATGCATGATGAAATTGTGGCGTTGAATGCTGATTCAACACTAGGGTCTCCCTTTCTGGGTAATTAAGTGGGATGAGAGGCCTGTTTTTCATATAGATTAGGGAATTATCTTTCTTTCTTGAAAGTGCCAGTGAATGGTGTGAGCAGGATTAAAAACTACAACGTGATAACTAGGCCGGGGGGAGCTACCATCACGATCCAACCCTTTCTTATAAGGTCCGGTCCCTCTAGGTCGGGGTCTGTCTTTCCTATTGAACTACCAAAAAAAAAGACAGCCATTCCGATCGAGAGAGAGAGAGAGGGGAGAGAGGTTTTAAAAGGGAAGCCCACAACCTGGCAGCCTAGCAGTGTAGATATTTTGTGGAGATTATGTACTCCTGCAGAGCACACTATATACTTACTCTATTGAGCAAAAGAGCTAGATAGAACTCTTTTTTTCTAGAAAAAAAATTGAGATCCTCTTTAGAATTACCAAATGAGGAATCAATATTAAAATTTTAAGACATACTCTTTTTCAAGCACATACAAAGCCGTATTTTCCTCTTCTTTTTCAGTTACCCATTGTTAGGCTTGTATGGTGCTAGATGTCAATGACATTTGTTGGGGGCCGCCCATGTGTATTTAGAATACCCCATGGTCTTGTCCTTTTCCTGAACATTGGTTTTGGTTGATGCAATTTGATCATTTTGGGTTCATG